CAACTCCAATTCTCGGAGAAACAATCGTGCGAGAATTAGATCCTGATGAAATTATGTCAACTTTCGGTTCGTCTTAATAATAAAATTCCATTCTGAGTTAACATTGATTTTAAGTTTTAAATTTATTTCTTATTTCAACTCGACCGTTTGTCCAGAAAAAACACTTGAGTAAACCTGCAACAGTGATTCCCATTAAACCTGTTAACGTTGCTCCAGCAAGCATAGCTTTAGGTCCACGATGCAAATTAATGTCATTATGGTAAACAGCTAAATTAATAGTTGAAAGTTAACGGATTTTCTATTTTCACCATTAATTAAAAATTTTTTTATGACTCAGTAAGCTAAAATCTATGTTACTGGTCAAAATTTATTAGCATTATTAAATTTTGAGCCATATGAATGAACGGCTGCTTAGAAGCAAATAGGCAAGACTTTGTTATTCTGCTGTCAATAAAATATGCTTTGTTTATTAATAAATGATGTCATTGTATCTTTTCTTGCCTTGATTGTGAAAATTAAAAAAAAGATACAAATTAATTTAACTCGAATAAAATTGTGACTAAAAGAATGCTTAGTGACAGAAAATAAAATTGTATTTACCGCTTTTGTTATTAGAAGCTAATGCCAACCAATCAGCTGATGATGTTTATTGTGTAACTAGCTCTGGTAAACATTAAAAAATCTTCACTCAACTATGCCAATTATTGAATAATAAATTTTATCATCGTATTGCTATGTTACTTTTTACTCCGTTTATATTACACTTAAAGTAAATATAATAATCCCTTCCATCAGTAATATTTCTTGTTGTTTGTGATTTCACCTTCCTTCCATTTTGTTTCCAGGATGAACCTTGATGGAGCTCAAATGCTGGACAGAACTTTTTCATTAAATGTTGATGATGTTTTCAATATGATTTTCTTTGATAGTCCATTTTTCCAATCTCTTTTCGCTAAAAAAAACACTTATAATATTACAGTTGGTGAATGGACTGATATAGATCCAAACAATGTTTCAGATGATCTTAAAGAATACAAGCAATATCGGAATTTATCGTATACAATGGATATGAACCAGTCAATGGCTAAAACTGTATCAACAACTGAGGTTCAATATTTATATGCCAGTTCTACTCCTGGTCAAGCATACGTGATAAAATCAGAAGCATCTAATATGGGATTTCCGTTATCGAGTAGCTTTCGAGTTGATACTGTTTACTATTTAAGCAGAGGAGAAACCGAAAACGAATGTAATTTGCAAATTTATGGCAAAGTTGTGTTCAAAAAAAGTGCTTGGGGAATGAAATCATTGATCGAAGATTCTACTATTCAAGGATTAAGTACTTTTGTCGAAGATCTAACGCGCTCATTACTAGAACTTACTGAACCTGATCTTAAAAACATAAAGTTATCCAATGGATCAAGTTTTTTATCGAAGGAATCTATTGCACCAATGACTGAATCTATTATTGTAACTCGTGATCCGATAATTGCTGGAAAAAAATCTTTAAGTTTAAGGAAAAGATCATCGTCTACATCATCTTCATCTCTTTCACCTAATATCATTGATCAAAAATTGTCTAGTGAGTCTGGTATAAAGAAACGCCGTGATCATTTATTTATTAATAAAATACAAACTTCATTAGGTGAGGAATCAAGTACCAATCAAATAGATACTTTGTTGATAAGAACTGTTTTTGTTTTACTTATTCTACTATCAACTCTAAATTTCTTCCTTTATATTAGACTATTAAGATTAGAAGATTCAGCTCAACTCTTGAAATCAATATTACATCCTGACTTTACGGTTCAAAGCTAAAGTCCTATCTTCCATTGCATTCCATGTAAAAAGAAATATTTGATAATTTTCTGGTTTTTGTTTGTTTCAATCGTCACTCAGTTTTAACGTTGTATTTATTAATTTTATTTTTGGATAATGGTTATTTCAATCTATCACAATCGATCTCTTTGTAATTTTTAAAAATAGCTACCAATTGTTATGTAAATCAAAACAAGCCACATCAACTAAATTATTTGTGTATAAATATATTGCATAAAAATATTAAATGCATAAAATTTTGCAAAAAAGATATTCTCTTATTAAATATTTTGTTCCCAAAATTTACTTTCATTAAATAATAATTTAAACACAGGAATTGACTGCACTCATGTAATCATATGGTTTCATTTATCAAAAAGTAATCATAAACTGAACAATTAATGCACTTAGAAAAGAGATTTTCAGCTTTCCTCATGAAATTTTCCTCAACAATATATATGTTCAGATAAAGCAAACTTATCGCATTTAACCAATATAAACGTGCACCCAGATGGAAATGATGATGATGTGATGAGTAAATTACACAAAATATCAATCCAAGTAATAATAACCTTTATTGAGCATTTAGTCAAACATGGCTGTTACTAACAAGACACAATCAACACTATTAGTATGTGTTAGATCACTACGTCGAGAGTATTCATGATTTAGACACGAGGCCCCTTGGGGCCGAGTGATCTAATCATGAATGCTCGAGATAGTGTGATCTAATTTACTTATAGAAATTTTAGATAAAATCAAAGTTAAATTTGGATAAAGAGGGGAAGCGTTTTAGCTCATATCTTTGATTTATCTGAGTGAAGAGAAGTTAAGCTTAGATTAAACATTAAATTAAGGAAAAGGTTTTGCTGAATATTTTGACCAGTTATAACTCGTGAATTAAGCAAGATAATTAAGTGCCCGATGTATCGCTGAAGAACCTTTGACTAGTACTCAGCAACCAAAATTAATCGTAGTACCATCATGAGTAATTCTGATAAAGTACATGGTGTCTCAGAATTCATATTGACAATGAAAATAATGATTTTCAAAATTGTTAGTAACCTTGTCATATGTTATTACTTGAAAGTAAAAGATCTTTTTTTGTTCAATTAATCTTATTTCTTCATGTGTACAATAACTTACATCTTTCGATGGTAACTCAGCTAACTAGCTAATGATGACCTTATAAATACATGTAAATTTTTCGAAGCCTTTTGCTCATACCGTTACTAGACTTTTGTCATTGGCGCTATAAATGCAATATTTTTTCATTTTGATCAATACTTGTAAGCTATCAAGGTATGACTGGTAATGAATTGAAATACATTAAAACCTTTGAATTTTAATGGCGACTCACAGTCTAGACACATTGTCACCAAATCAGATTTGTTGGCCCGAAATTTATTGGGCTTCAATTTAATATAATGTTTAGATTAGTTTTGATTCGTAATGCAATGAAACTGGTGCTAAGCTTGAAAATTCATTTCCATTCTTTACCAGTCATACCTTAGCGCTGTTTTCGTGTTCAACTAAATTACAGTCTTGACTCAAAAGTTGAACCTGCTTGTTTGTTTGCTCTCAACCGTAATATTGAAGGATACAATTCAAACTAGAATTACTTGGAAAGTAGAGTGACATTATAATCATGTCAATATAAGAGAAGATGAGTAAGTTGAGCTTACATTGAACGTTAAATTAAGGAAAAGGTTTTGCTGAATATTTTGACCAGTCATAACTCGTGAATTAAGCAAGATAATTAAGTGCCCGATGTATCGCTCAAGAACCTTTGACTAGTACTCAGCAACCAAAAATTAATCGTAGTTCCATCATGATTAATTCTGATAAAGTACATGGTGTCTCAAAGTTCATATTGACAATGAAAATTATGATTTTCAACATTGTAAGTAACCTTGTCATATGTTATTACTTGAAGTTAAAAGATCTTTTTTATGTTCAATAAATCTTATTTCTTCATGTGTACAATAACTTACATCTTTCGATGGTAACTTCGCTAACTAGCTAATGATGACCTTATAAATACATGTAAATTTTTCGAAGCCTTTTGCTCATACTGTTATTAGACCTTTGTTATTGGCGCTATTAAGTCAATATTTTTTTATTTGATTAATACTGGTGAGCTATCAAGCTACGACTGGTAATGAATGGAAAAACATTAAAACCTTTGAATTTTAATGGCGACTCACAGTCTAGACACATTGTCACCAAATCAGATTTGTTTGACCGAAATTTATTGGGCTTCAATTTAATATAATTTTTAGGTTAGTTTTGATTCGTAATTCAATAAAACTGATGCTAAGCTTGAAAATTCATTTCCATTCTTTACCAGTCATACCTTAGCGCTGTTTTCGTGTTCAACTAAATTACAGTCTTGAGTCAGCAGTTGAATCCTCTCAGTTGTTTGCTCTTTACCGTAATATTGAAGGGACAATTTAAACTAGAATTACTTGGAAAGAAGAGTGACATTATAATCATGTCAATCTAGTTGAGGAGGAGTAAGTTAAGCTTACATTGAACAGTGAATGAATTAAAGGTTTTTGTGAATATTTGACCAGTCATAACTCGATAATTAAGCAAGATAATTAAGTAAGCGATACATCGCTGGAGAACGTTTGACTGTACTCAGTAATTAATATTCGTCATGGTTTCATCATGAGCTTTTCTGATGAAAATCATGGTGTATCAGAATTCAATTTGACAATGAAAATTATGATTTTCAATATTGTTAGTAACCTTTTTATGTGTTTTGTCAATGACATTGGTTGGTGGATTTAAGTTGAATCTTGTTAACGTAATCATCTTGTGCAACAACAAGAGGTAATGATGGTTGAGTTTCATGTTTTTGATTACTGTCATTTGATGTTAACCTTTTTACTTTGCAATTTGAAAGACATTCAGTTTCTCTCATTGACTAGATCTTCACTCCAATTTACAAATTGAGGGAAATTAAATTGCAAAACCCTTTCTTGGGCAAACATTTCTATTTCCGTTTCAAGAAAAAAATTAGTAACAAACTGACCACCAATCTAACCTCCAATTTACCTTAGTATTAACCAAATTTCATCTAGTTTTCAACTGGCATTTTCTGCCATTTTTGGTTATACTTATTTTTACTATTATCAGTGCTATTTCTACTAATATTATCAATTATACTCATTAATATGAGCTCTACTAATTTAAGTGAAGATTGTGAGAACCAAATTGATCCAGATGTTGATGTTTACCTCAGTCAAATTTGTGAAAAGGATCTCGACCAAGCAAGGTTCAACCAGCTAACAACTGCTGATGAAATTGAAAATATTATTAATGAAGTCAAGCCCAGAAATACCATTAAACAGGAGCTTTGGGCTGTGAAAATTTGGTCATCTTGGGCTTCAACACGTCTCTCGTCTTCTTCAACTTCTTCCAACTGTAGATCAATACCTATCAACTTGAGTAATAACAGTTACATTGATTTCGAAGATTTTGAATATTGGTTGCCCTACTTTGTGATGGAGGTTAGAAACAAAGACGGAGAAGAGTATTCACCGAACTCCATCAAACAAATAATGACTAATTTGTTTCGATACCTCAAAGATAATTGTCATTACCCTGGTTTAAGTTTTGTTGACAGAAAATCACCATTCTTCAAAATAATTGAAGCAAGAATGAAGAAAATGAGAATCAATGGTTTAGGTTTGCAATTGAAAAAAGCTGATGTTGTCACGGCTGATGATGAAGAAAAATTATGGGCAACGAAAGTCATTAATATGGATACATCGAGCGGACTTTTTGCCGCAGTGTTTTTTTATACAGGCAAAACTCTTGCACTGCGGGGACGTGAAGAGCATAGAAAGCTCAATATCGAGCAATTCGAGCTCAAGACTGATTCTCAAGGAGTTGATTTCCTTCATTTTTGGCCGGTTTTGAGAAAAAATCATCATGACAAAGTCTTATATGATCAAATGCGGAAAGATAGTATCATTCATTATGATAATAATAATAACAATAGATCTTATATCAAAATATTGAAGAAATATCTTGAACATTTACCTGAGAAGAAAGGCCCATTTTATCGAAGACCTATTGATCATGAATCAAAGATTGCCTTTTCTACTGCTCCAGTTGGAATAAATACACTTGCAAAGATGCTAAAGACTCTTTTCATCAAAGCAGATATTGATATCAGTTCAAGGCAAATCTCCAATCATGGTCTTAGAGCAACTGCTGTTACTGACTTAATTAAGTCAGGTTTTGAAACTGCAGTCATCAAGAAGAGAACTGGTCACCGTAGTGACGCTATAGATGCGTATTTTCGCTCGGATACAACTTCGCATAAATCAACTTCACTTGCTTTGGACCCTCCATTAGAGCTAAGCTCTACGGAAATAAATAATAAAAATACTAATGTTAATCATGTTGAGCCTAATGAAATTGCTAAAGTTTCAACAGAAAGTGTTTCATCTGTTTCATCTGTCAATGATAACGATAAGGTAAAAGATGAAGACAAAGAGATTAGTCTCAATCTCAGACTTGGTAACAAAAAAATAAAAATTGATATCTCTTTGTAGATAAAAAAGTATATAATCTGTTGAACTATTGATTATATACGCACTTGTATTAGTGCCTAATAAAATTGCTGAAACAAAGGAATTACAAAAAAAAAGTTGTATAATCAAATTTATATTCAAATTGATACAAAACGGATGAAAATTGATTTCTTTCAAATTTAGATTCCGTTGACTTGTGAGAGCATAAATAACTAGTCCATTTGTGCGATTAAAAGATTTCTCTGATCGATAGTTTTCAAGAAAATCGAGATCGAATATGAAATTTCGATCGCCTTTTGTACAATAATGGTAGCAGATTTTTTAATGAAACTCATCTTCTTGATGTAAATTTTGATGATTAACTAGAAAATGCATTTATTTTGAAAAATAAAATTTTCGTTCTCATGTAAAGCATATAAGTTCGATTTGCATTTAAACCGACATCTTTCTGTGAGCATTAGAGTTACAGAACTCAATCTTATTATTGGTCCATAAAAATTGTTTTTACACATCATGGATTGAATATTTTTTTCTATTTATCTGCAGCTCTCGTGATTTTGGTCATTGAACTAAAAACTTTGAACATCGATATTTCGACAATGAAAGCACCCACAATCACTATTCGTTCACCAATTTAGCTCTCTGCCAATCAACAATTCAATGCAATTCAATAACTTCCCATAAGGCAATTTGGCTCATGGAGTTTGGGCTTTAAATGTGCGAGAAACAACTTATTCAATAATCCAAACTCATCTTAACCCATTTCTTGGTAAATAAACCCATTTTCTTGTTAAACTTGCAAACATAATGCAAAGAATGGTGCTAGAGACTCGAACATTTTGAGTAAAGAGCTTAGACTTGGTGGGTTTGTAGGGACATAAAAACTGCGTTCATTGGTACTATTCAATTACTCGATGGATAGTTTTCGAGAAAATCGAGGCCAAATTTGAAACTTCGAATGCTTTTTGTACAATTATGGAGGTACATTTTTTCATAAAATTCATTTTAATGATGTAACTAATAGAAAACTGTCGAGCAGAGAAAAGTTTAAAACTCACCAATTGAAAAGTAATGAGCTTATAGCAATTTTGCAGATTAGGACCACTTCGTTTTCCACGCATGTTGAGTGGAGGTGGCTCTAGAAACTTTCTCGCCAACTGGTAGATAAAAGGACTAACAAGTGAATTTTTGTTCAATTATCTTTTGTCTTCACTTCAAAGATGTGTTCAAAAAAGTGCTTGGTGAATGAAATCATTGATTGAAGATTCTACAATTCAAGGATAAAGTATTTTTGTTGAAGATCTGACTGGACCATTACTACAACTCACTGAACCTGATCTTAAAAGTATAAATTTATCCAATTCATCAAGTTTTTTATCCAAGAAATCTTTTGCCCCAGTGACTGAATCTATTATTGTAACTCGTGCTCCGATAATTGCTCGAAAAAATCTTTAAGTTTAAGGAAAAGATCATCGTCTACATCATCTTCATCACTTTCTCATCTTGAGCTCAACTACAAGACAAATATGAATTCAGATGAGGCTAAACTTCTGACAAGTAATGCAACTTTAGCAGGTATTGAGAAGGATCTTGCATCTGGTCGTGGATTTGAAACATGCATCATCACACCGAGTGGAATGGAGCATCGTGTTGAACCTGCAGCTAAATCTTACAAACAACTAGGAACTTACACATTTCCTGTTGGTGCAACTCCAATTCTCGGAGAAACAATCGTACGAGAATTAGATCCTGATGAAATTATGTCAACTTTTGGTTCGTCTTAATAATAAAATTCCATTCTGATTTAACATTGATTTTAAGTTTTAAATTTATTTCTTATTTCAACTGGGCCTTTTGTCCAGAAAAAAACACTTGAGTAAACCTGCAACAGGGTTCAAAAAGTATAAACTCCACCGGTAATAGCAAATGAAAAAACCATGTCAGTAAATCGCATGTCATTATGGTAAACTGCTAAATTAATAGTTGTGGTAGAAAATAGCAACGCTAATAAACCAGCTCTCCACCCGAATTTGAATCCATTTCGAATACATGTAGACAGGGTACAGTCGGCAAGTTTCCGAGCATATGCAGTTTTAGACTGGAATTGATATTCGTTGAACCTTGTTTTGAAGTCTATAAAAATAAAAGCATGATATTTATAAATGGGAAAGTATTTAGCATGACCATAGATTAAAAAATTGCGCAAATCGATAATCACCATTATAAACAGGCCTCATACCAATAGTTGCACCAATAATCCCACCGGCTATCATTGAATTGTACCAGGTTTTCCAGATGAAACCAGCTTCTCCACTTTCTTCACCATTTAAAATTTCTCTGTATAATCTTTTCACACGATAAACACCATCTTCATCTAGAAAGAGAAAAGTCTTAGTAGGCTTGTCGCTAAGAGTTGAATTTGAAGGATCACTGAATATGCGAAAGACAATAGGCTGACAAGAAGAAATAATAGCAGATGAATCTCCTAAATTTTTCAAACCTTTACGAGATCCATCATCATGTCCTTACCAAGAATCAAAATGTTGTTGATGTTGTTTTACCTATTAATTTGGATCGATTATTCGATATGCTTCTTACTATTAATAATCCACATTTCGCCTATACTTTCGCTGAGAGCTTAAAACACGAGATCAATATAACCAGAGAATGGTGTACTCCTAGTGTAAGCGACTTAAAGGAATCTGACCAGCCAATCATTGGAGTAAGGCAATTAAGCCGACAAATGGTACTGGTTCTGACCTGTTTCGCCAATGCTTGTTAGATAAAAATGTTAAATGTTGAAAATACATGTAGCATGCAATAAAC